TGGGGTTTGAAATAAGGAAGCAGGAGTGAGGACTGAGAGACAGGAGGTACAATTATTTAGATTTGGTGATTAATTGCATTAGGTTTGACGGAGAGATAAAAATAGCAAATAATGGCAACCTTTCTAACTTGACCCCTGGTTAGATGCTGAGGACCATGGGGAGAGAAAACCAGAAAAATGAGTGTCATTTTTTTATAGGTTGGGTTTAAAGTGTTAAGTTTAGGTCTCTGGGACATCCGGAGGGAGAAAACCAGATGGAGATATGGGCCTGGAAGGTGTAATGTCACTGAGGGCTCAGGTAGTCACCTATGGAATCTTATAGGCATGTGCATGTGGAAGTGTGTCTCTGGTACGTCACTTACATATCTTCTTTGGAGAAATGTCTATTTGTATCTTTTGTCCATTTTAAAAAGTTGTATTTCTTTGTCTTTTTATCATTAAATTGTAGGGTTCTTTATATTTTCTAGATATAAGACCCTCATCAGATACATGATTTGCAAAATCCCATTCTGTAGGTTCTTTCACTTTCTTGATAGTGTCCACTGAAGCACTAAGATTTTAATTGTGTATTAAAATTACAATCAGAATGTGTAATTTTTCTTGTTTTTAATTAATTTATTAACAAAGATGTGTTGAACTGGAAAACTAACAAGCAAACAGATTCCTGGAGACCACTCATATAGATTCTGATTCAGTAGTCTGGAGTGGGGTCCAGTAATCTTTATTTTTATGTTGTTTGTTATTCTAGTGCAACTAGAACATAGGACAGGCATTTGTCAACTGTCTACATATCTGCCAGTGATCATTTACCTTACAGATTACCCTCAGACAAAGGTGTTTTACTTTTGTTTCATCACAATCTAGTAAGTTTTTCTGCTTCTTGGTGACTAACACAGTGCCCCCCCCCCAAAAAAAAGGTTAATTAATTATATTGAGTTGAATCTTGTTTTCTTGGCTTAGAACTGATTATAAACAGCAGACTTAAAGAGGGGAGAATGCTTTAAAGATGTAACATCTGACAGTTTAACAGACACAGACACTCAAAAACCTAGCAGCTGGGCCTTTGAGAAGAAGCAGGTTCCGCAGATTAATGCTAGAGATGAAAAAAGAACCTCTCCTCATCATGTTCCCTTCCACTTCATACATTATTTCCTTATGAAAATTTTATCAACTGGGCATCCTCTGTTGTTACAACAGCCACTATGTATTGCTTGCCTACTATGTGCTTTTAAATGTCACGTCAATTCATTCTTTATCAACACTATAAAGAAAATGAGCTCATAAAGAAAATGAGAAGATTAAAGCTCACGGTGGTTACACAACTTGCCCAAGGTCCTGCAGCTAGTAGTGGCAGAACAAAAATTATACCCAGATCTCTTTATTCTATGCTTTTAGCTACTAAAACAGGGGTTCTCAATAGACGTTTCATAACACTTAGTTATGTGGCATTTTACATATAAATTGGTGATGGTTAGAGAGTGGACATTATTAAAAGATTTACTTTTTTAAAAGAAATTAGATTTGATTCAGGATTATCCCCTAACACTTGCACCCTGCCCTACTTGTTTGCTCATGGGCATTGTTGAGAGGGAAAGAATATGATGGTGTAGCAATGAGACCAGAGGAAACCAAAGTATAAGCCTGGCTATGCTCAAGGATGCTGCCAGGGATATGAATTCTGTCACGTGTGTCTTGGCTGAAAAAAAAGATATAGAACCATCAAAGTCAAGTCCAATAAGAGGGAGTATACACCGGGGTCAGATGACTGACTTTTTATACTGAATCTGCCCTTTATTGTTGTGTGACCTTATTTAACACCTATGTGTGAATTGGTTTTCTCACTGGCAAAATAGAGTTGCTGAAGAATTAATCAGTTGGTACATGTTAGATGGAAACAATGCCTAGAAAATAGTAAGCACTTTCAATAAATGTCAGTAAAAGTTTGTGCAGTTTCAAGTCTTGTATACAGTACCTCTAGCTCTCAAAGATGGCAACTGTTGTATTTCATACATTGGGCCTGGGTAAGTGAATAAACATTTTAAGCATGTCTTTCATAATTATTTTAAGCACATATTTAATCATTTTTCTTGCTTTCTTAAAGCTTAGTGAGGTTGTTTGTGGATAATTTGGATGGCCTGCCTTTCTTCTTTAAGCTATCAATAGAACTACCCATTGCTAAGTTTTTATTCTGCTGGAGAAATGGCCTTCTAACACATTTAGGCACTTGCTTTTATCAAATAGCAAACCTGGTAAAAGTTAGTTGACATTTCCAATCTTTGCTAAGCTCCTCCCAAGCACTTAGAACCTGGCTGTTAAGGTGCTGTGGTTTGAGTCCTGTAATTTCTTGCATTTAGAGGTCTGCTCATGAAGCTCCTTTTCATGGTCATCTCTCCATGAGCCCCTGCTCAGCCAGTTCCCCAGACGCCTCTCTTAAACCACAGATGAACCCATGGTTAAGTCCTTCACTAGACGAGAGTGAGTGGGTGGAACAGCACACAGCCAACATTAAATTATGATCCCTCCATCTATATCACATTATTTGCCACAATCATGTTCTTGGTTTTAAAGCATCTTCATATGGAAATAAAAAACAAGCCCATCTTCTACACTAAGTGACCCATTAGTTACAAAATACAGGAGCCAGTGTTCCTTTCTGCCTCCTCCCCACAAGTCCCAGGGTGAGTGCCTCTTGTCTGAATGCTTCCAAGATAATGGCCCAAGATCCTGGCACAGAACTAAATTGGTCCAAGAAGAGATGAGCATCCCACTCCACAGTGTACATGTGTCTGCAAATTTCCAATCAGGAAAATCAGCTCAAGAGGGCTGATCAGGTATCAACTACATCTGCCTGTTGCTTCCTTCACCCCATTTTCCTAAAGTGAGCATCCTTACTAGCTAAGAGTTGTAGGCTGCTTTGTATGTATGCATCTCTTGAAACTAGAAACAAACTAGCTACAAAGTCAGGTGCATTTAATTTAGATGCCTAAATATGTTTTCTTTTTGAGGAAAAAATATAGCATAAAGATTATGAATAGCACAGAACACCCCAATTTTAAGGCCCTATAAAATATTTGGACATGTTTTGTTGTTTGAAAATAACACGTGTCAGTAACAGCATATGTATCTCTATTTTTGAAAGATATGGCATAATCCACGCCGGCGGGGTAGGGAAATATCTCAGTGACTGGATCCTGCATGGAGAGCCTCCTTTTGACCTAATAGAATTGGATCCCAATCGATATGGCAAATGGACAACCACTCAGTACACGGAGGCCAAAGCAAGAGAGTCGTATGGATTCAACAATATTGGTAAAGTGCAAATTTACTGTGTCTACAGAGTGTGTGCAAAATGGACTTGCAGCACCTCTGACTCTAGATGCTTTTTGTTCTGTGCAGTTTGGTGGGAGTGGTTAGGGAGTCTGAAAAGCCTTGTGCCTCTAAGATGCAACAGGAAATCTGTATTAATGTATATATTTCATGTGCAGAGTGCATCAGTGATTTTCAGTTTTAAATTCATTTTGTCTTTCCCCTTGGATGATCAATATAAAAATGACAGCATTGATGGTTTTATTTTACATCAATTTAATACAGGTATATGCTTCTGTATTTTAAATACTGCTCTCCATTTTGTCAATCCCTTCAAAGCGTTTGCTAGCTTTGGTTATATGTTGTTACCGTCCTGGGTTTCCTTTTTCAGTTGGGTACCCTAAAGAAGAACGGTTTGCTGGGAGGCCGACTCAGCGAGTGAGTGGGCTTTATAAAACCCTGGAGTCTAAATGTTCCATGGGATTCCATGCGGGCTGGGAACAGCCACACTGGTTCTACAAACTGGGCCAGGACACTGGGTACAGGTAGGTAAATGACTTGACCTGCCTGGGGCTCTGACTGCAGAATGCAATTTCAGAGGTGGGATGGAGGGACATCAGTGCCGATTCCCCTCCCACCCTACCGCTCCATCTCATTCCTACAACATTTACTTTCTGGCAGTGGAGCCATTAGTCTATCCCACATGACACTGGCCCACATCTAGGACCCATCTGGCCCCACGAGCCCTACACCAGCCCCGGTGAAGCCTCGGCTTGGCATTTCCCAGGAGCTCAGAGGAACCTTCTCACCCCCTCCAAATCCTCACATGCCTTGGGTTGGCTCCTAAAGGTTTGTCCCAGCTTAGGAGGCCTGGTTGAATCACATAGTATGGAAATAGTATGGAAATATGGGTCTTCTAGTTATCAGGGAATAGCTCAAAGCAACTGCCTCTCAGTGTGTGTATATCAAGTCATGCAAATTGTATGCACTGTTGATAAAGGAGGGGAAAGGATCATTTAGGTAGCATTTGAGGTTAAGCTAAAACATAAAGGCTGTCACTAAAACAATTCTCTGAACTCCTCTAGAGTGGTTGCCTTTGTTTGACTTGGATTACATGTCATCATTGTACTTGGGATTTATAGTGATTGCATATTTTTTTCTCATGAGAATTCATAACCCAAGAGAAGACAAATAGCAAATCTAGGAATTAAGTTACCTTTTTTTATTGCTTATTTAAAAACGGTTTTGATGTCCACTTTAACACCAGACCTAAATGGTGCAAAATATAGTAGAGGGCCAGTTGTTGATTACTTGATTTGGGCTCCCCGGGCAGCCAGTCTAGATGATCTGAGGGCAAAATATTGGTTTGGTTTTCCCTAAATGACTCAGATAAATACCAGATCTATTCTTAACCTTGTGCTGTTTGGATCTGGCTTGTTTCTTCTACTAGTTTAATAATTAAACTCCTGAAAACTCATTTTGCAGACTTAGCATCCTGCTCTGAAGTTCAAATACCACATTAGGAGTCCACTTCATCACGTAGAAGGGACCCTGCATAATGAATCGGAGACCTTTGTTCCAGGGCCAGCTCTGTCAGTAAATAATGCAAAGCCTTGGAATTCACATTGTGTCTTTTCTCTAAAAAATGAAGATGTTGGATCAGATCCTTGCCTAGTCCCGGTGTGGAGCCTGTGAATGCAGAATACGGGCCCCACCCAGACCTGCTGCATTAGAAGCTGTGTTTTAATAAGTGCAATGATTTTATTTGCATTAATATTTCAGGAGTGCTGGACAAGACAGCTCCACCCCCATATATTCTGAATTAGGTCCAAAAGGTTAGCATTTTTAAAGAATTTTTTAATATATTTTATTGATTTTTTACAGAGAGGAAGGGAGAGAGATAGATAGTTAGAAACATCCATGAGAGAGAGACATCGATCAGCTGCCTCCTGCACATCTCCTACTAGGGATGTGCCCGCAACCCAGGTACATGCTCTTGACCGGAATCGAACCTGGGACCTTTCAGTCCGCAGGCCGATGCTCTATCCACTGAGCCAAACCGGTTTCGGCAAAAGGTTAGCATTTTTAAAATGCTCGTTAGGTGACCACGGGACTGGTTGACTTCTAAGCTCTCTTCCAGATTTGAAAGCCCACATGTCCTATCTTATTTTCTAGTTAATAGATAATTTATTCACTATGAAATGGGTTAAAAAAGACATATAAGTAACTTTAAAAAATCAGATTCCAACATAGACGTATGATTTGCAGAGTAGAATTTTAGGTTGCATTTTTTTTTCCAAATAGAATTTACTACGTAAATAGGGTTAATTAAAATATCCTTGTTCTGTAATTTTCTGAAAATGAATGACAGTTGTTTTATGACAAACTGTGTTTCAGGCCAAGTTTTCGCCGCACAAACTGGTTTGAGCCGGTGGGCTCTGAGTATAAACAAGTTATGCAAAGAGTAGGGGTGATTGACCTGTCACCATTTGGCAAGTTTAACATCAAAGGCCAAGATTCTACTAGATTGTTGGACCATCTCTTTGCAAATGTCATTCCAAAGGTAAATAACCTTATAATGGTACAAGGTTCAAGATTGTGGCCTGTTTAACTCTGTCCTCTCATTTAAAACAAAAAAATAGAAACCCCCAATATGTTATTTTAGTCCACTTAATGATTTTGGTGTGAACACTAGAACCCTTCAACTGATCAAGAATATTCTAGCTAATTTCTTAATTTACATTTTTATTGAATGAGTTGTCATCCAAGGATCTTATGAACTTTGCTTAATTCTGTCAATAGGAACTACAACTTTGACTGAAGTATAATTTTTATGACAAATAATTGTAATTTAAACTGAGAACTTCAAAATTAATCTTGGACTTAGGTTTGTAAGTAATTCAAACAAGTGATATAAATGATAAGATTCAGATGTTTTTCATTGTTGACACCCACATTTTTATTTCCATGTTGGTTTAAAAGAGATACATAAGATTTTTGTTTCATCCTGAGATAATTTTCAATTCTTTTGTGCAGGTGGGTTTTACAAACATAAGTCACATGTTAACACCAAAAGGTCGAGTGTATGCTGAGCTGACTGTTTCTCACCAGTCTCCTGGGGAGTTTTTATTAATAACTGGTTCTGGATCAGAACTTCATGATCTTAGGTAAGTGTGCACCTAGTAAGACAATTGTATATGGATTAAACATTGACTCTGTCTTAAGATGAGTTTTTCTTTCACCAGTAGTTGAAAGTACAACTTTAATTCTTAAACCTTGTTGATTCGAATAAACTTCATGTCTATATGGAAATTATTGAAAAGTGAGGGACCCTGTCTCCACCCCCTTCCAAAAGGGAATTCCTCTACTGGTTCTAATAATATCAACTCCTATTTATGGGCATCATCATTGTGTCAGAACTCTTTTTACATATTGTATTAATTACCTCTCTTAATATGTTTGTATGGTATACACTATTCCCATTTTCAGATGAGGAAACTGAAGTTTGTATTAAAGTAACTTGCAGAAGCCAGGCCTTTCTATTCTGATGCCCACATTTAGTAAGCTGCCTCCCTGGGGTATCTTCTCCCTTTTTCATGCTTTATGCTCTCTGGTCCCCTGTTGGATCTAAATTGTTGACCGTCAGGTTGATCCTTCACAAGAATCTTTAGAATTTGGAATATTATTGTTTACTAAATGCCAGACTAGCGATGAATAGGTATAAAAGTTGGGCAGGAGAAATCTTGACGCTGACAGATTCTCACTCTAGTTTAAAAATGATGCAAATTAGATCCTCCAATCCAGGATGTATTGGGAGCCATTTTGGTAGTAGCTTAGCTTTGTGTAAGTCCAGGTGATCCTCTTACAATAGGCCTGTGTAGTTCGAGGGACTGCTCAATAAATCATAAACAAGCTCTATAACCGGGTTCCAATAACTCATCAGGACAGAAATGGAAACTAGTCTTTAGAGTTTTTATATTTTCCTTGTGATTGTCAGAGTAATTCTGCGTCTGATGGCAGGCCCATTATTAACTTTTGGCAGCGTGAATGTGCCTCCTGTGTACAGGTATCAGAGAAAATTTGGGTTTAATTAATTTTTGAAGATTGAGTCATTAGTTTAAATACAATAGGGCTGTCACTATTTAATTGTGTGCCAGAGCTCATTTCAATTGAAGGATCCTTCTGCACTGTGAAAAATTACCCCCAGTTTATATAAGCAGGTGGTTTACAGAGAATCACTTAACATGTCTGGGATCCAGTTTCCTCAACTTTAAAAATTAGGTGATTATATGAAACGACGCCCTGGGGACTTTCTGGTAATTCTAGACACCAAGTATGTCTTCAGAGAAATAATATGTTACCAACATGCATTATTCAAGCAAGATTTAACACAATGTTTATGACTCAAATGCAGATGGATTGAAGAAGAGGCAGTCAAAGGTGGATATAATGTTGAAATTAAAAACGTAACTGATGAGCTTGGAGTCCTTGGAGTTGCAGGGCCACATGCAAGAAAGGTCCTTCAGAAACTGACCTCTGAAGATCTTAGTGATGATGTCTTCAAGTTTCTTCAAACCAAGTCTTTAAAAGTTTCCAACATTCCTGTCACTGCTATTAGGATATCTTATACTGGTAAGAATCAGAAAATAATTTAGAGTAAAATTTAAAAGAAGCTCCCAGAAATGCTCTCTCTCTCTCTCTCTCTCTCTCTCTCTCTCTCTCTCTCGTATAATTTTGGAGAAAGTGTTCTCCTGCCCAACTTTTATGACAATTCTCTCTCTGCACCTTTAACCTGAGAGATCATTCCACAAATTTCCAATTATAAGGGTAGATAAAAGAATGGGAAGATGATGGCTTCTGGAATAGTTGGAAGGGCTGACAGAATATTTAGGCCCGTGGACTCTATCTGGGAACATTCAAGGTTGTCTCCCATAGAGACCATCTTGAATGTATCAGGCACCTCTCTTGCAGCATTCCTGTTTTCCATCTTCCTTTCTAGGCTCTAAGTGTATTGAGGAAGTCTTCATATAGTACCTAACCTTGTACATAGTAGGTATTCAGAACAAGAGTTGAATGAATTTTCTTCACCTCCCCATTGGTGCTCTGGGCTCACTTCTATCTTCCTCTAGACCTCCTTGTCTTTTCACAGAAGGAGTACTTGGTGCCAGTCATTTGTTCAAGTACATGTTGCTCTCGCTTTGGTGGTGTCCTGGAAAGACACATCACCACCAGCCCTCAACATTGGGGAACAAGGAGAACACACAGTACAAAGGCTGTAGCCCTTCCCTGGCATCTGTGTACCTTTTCCCCACCCTCTCCACCTAACCTTGGCAAAGTGGGGACAGAGTAAAGCACGAGCAGAATAAAAAATAAGCAGACTGGGTTGGGTTTCATTTCCTTTGGTTTTTGCCTATAGCTCTAATGGTGAGAGGAATGACCAGGTGGGGAAGAAAGGGGGAGTAGGAGGAATTAGAGACTGTGTCCCACAATGAAGACCATTTGAATAAGTGTCAACTGCCTATTTTTTTAAGCCTTGTGATTTTGGGGCAAGGAGTTGGGAGTAGAGTTTCCTAAACCTTGAACCCCTTATCTAGATAAACTATGCCATGCTAATTACTCAACATCATGAAACCAGTCAGGGGTCAAGATGAACTCCTCCTGCGCTACAGTCTTTCTACGTCATGTGAAGAGGTGTCCTAGATACCGCCCTCTGTGTGAGAGACAGGATTGGGCATGAACTTTGCAGTAGGTTTTTGTTGCATTTTTTCCTTATGAACTGTTCTTTTAAAACTCAGCAATGTCTGTGTTGCATAAATGGCATCTCTCCATTTATTTATGTGTTTTCGCTAATGCATACTATTCCTTGTGACCATTGTTCTTACTCTGATGTGGCACTTGTGGGTTTCTTTTAGGTGAGCTGGGCTGGGAGCTGTATCACAGACGAGAAGATTCTGTGGCACTGTATAACGCCATCATGAATGCAGGCCAGGAGGAGGGAATTGACAATTTTGGCACATATGCCATGAATGCCCTAAGACTGGAGAAAGCTTTCAGAGCCTGGGGGTCCGAGGTTTGAAATGCCAGCATCTTCATTAAAATGTTGTTTATCGTATCTGATTTTTATATAAGGGCTAGTTTTATTTTTTTTTCATTCTTTATTTTTACAAGGGCTAGTTTTAACTGCGTCAACATTGGCTCTGACGGTAAGAGAAGTTATATATTATTAGGTAACTTTATTTAATTAGAGGAAGAGGTTTTTCTTTTCATTTTCCCAGTTGAAAGTTTAGTGTAATTATGATGTAATGTTTATTCTGCCTAATTCCTCCTCTTGGCAAAGAGCCCTGGACACTGTCTCTGACTGTGTGTGGAGCTGTAGCTGCTCTGAGGGAGCCTGCCTACCTCCCACAATAGGAGGACCACCTTTTAAATTCTTCCTCCTCCTCCTCCTTTTCCTCCTCCTCCTCTTCTGCCATGCTGCCCATTATCATTTTCTTCTTAGCCTATTCCCTTTGGGGAAATAATAACAAACGGGTTTTTTTTCTGAGGAGCACGGTTGATGGTCTAGGACCGTGGTCGGCAAACTGCGGCTCGCGAGTCAAATGCGGCTCTTTGGCCCCTTGAGTGTGGCTCTTCCTAAGCCTTAGGAGTACCCTAATTAAGTTAATTACAATGTACCTACCTATATAGTTTAAGTTTAAAAAATTTGGCTCTCAAAAGAAATTTCAATCATTGTTCCGTTGATATTTGGCTCTGTTGACTAGTTTGCCGACCACTGGTCTAGGATGTGTTGTCTAGCCTACTTCTACCATTGATAACGGGAACTAAGGATTTCTATTTGTATTGTTACACACCATTTTCATATGCATCTTGTCATGTACCTTCTCAATTCTCCTGATTATTGATGATTCTTGGACAAGGGGTTGAGACTCAGAGTATCTAAATTATCCCCATTCTGCACCCAGTCACACTAAGAAACAGTAAGCAATGTTGATCAGGTTACATGAAGTGGCCAAACTATGGTTCAAACTCTTTTCTCCTATTTATCTCCAGCATGACAGGCTATCTCTGAACCCCTTAATTTTTTCAGATTCCTAGTTGTTTCCTTAGAAGACATTGAGGTTTTAGGCTTGAAAAGTGAGATGAGGAATAGCTGTAAAGGGTGTACATTAGAGAGGGGTCTCTTGGGTCTGAATTTATCCTCTAGCACACATGTGGCCTTGACTCTCCAGGGCCTCTGTTTTCTTTCCTATAAAATAAAGATAATCTTTCTCCTACAGAGTTATAGATATTAGTCTATAAAGTGCCTAGCATATAATAGAATGAATTCAACTGGAGAGCAAAGGGGGTTGGGAAGCCCAGGCAGGGCCCCCTGGGCAGTTAAACTATGGGCAGAAGCAACTGGGCTTTGAGGTAAGGAGGGCAGCCTCCTGGAGTCACTGTAAGAAGGGCCCTGGGGCCGGTGGGCATTTTGCAAAAGAGATATTCTATCAAGGGATTCCCAGCCTACAACCAGGGCCTTAGATGAGGATGTAGCAGGGAGAGTCCCCGCACTGCTCCCCAAGGAATGAAGCCACAGAAGCAGTCCTTGGAGGCCAGCATTTCTCTACCTTCCTGCCTTTTATATCTCCTGCCTTCTCTGGAAGCCATCCTCTTAACAACTTTTCTCCATCCCAGGTCCCTGATTTCCCAGCAGTACCAGTACGCCCTCTAGTGGTATCAAGCAGTAAATATTATT